TATTTATTTATTTATTTTTGACAGGCACAGTTAGACAGTGAGAGAGAGACAGAGAGACAGAGAGAAAGGTCTTCCTTTTTCTGTTGGTTCACCCCCCAAGTGGTCGTTACAGCTGGTGCGTTGCGGCTGGCGCGCTGCACCGATCCTAAGCCAGGAGCCAGGTGCTTCCTCCTGGTCTCCCACATGGGCACAAGGCCCAAGCACTTGGGCCATCCTCCACTGCACTCCTGGGCCACAGCAGAGAGCTGGACTGGAAGAGGAACAACCAGGACAGAATCCGGCGCCCCAACTGGCACTAGAACCCGGTGTGCTGGCGCCGCAGGTGGAGGATTAGCCTAGTGAGCCGCGGCACCGCGCCAACATATAAATCTTGAGGGTGTTACAACCATTCAGACAATAACTAGAGCTTACCTACTTTCAATACGATTTAACTTCTGATTACTTAATGTCTGATTGCAACACATACACCACTTGCAGAATTAACAAGAAAAGGTTCACCTTGGTCACTTCAGGGGTGTGAGTGATGGTAGGGGTAGACAAATCCACTTAGTCTAACCTGTTCTCTACCAATGATTCTGAATAATTTGAAGAATAAAGGAGAGGAATAACCATCATTTGAGAAGTAGGACAGACAGACCGGGCACCAAGGTCTTTCCTTCACTACTGACTGCATTGTGACTTATGTCCAGTGGACAAGACTGACAGGTGGACTTACCCATGCATCTCTACAGAGCTGGGCTCTGTAGAAAATATATAATGTGTGCTGGGAAGGAGGAATGGCATTGCTGAACTAAGTGCATCTGGTTCTTTCACAGCCACACCGTGGCACTCCAGGGGGTGAGAGTACAGGGCTGTGAAGAGGCAGCTGTGTGTTTAGGTAAATGCCCTGTCGGGACGTGGGCAATGGCCTCCCCTCTGCTACTCGCTGCTGGCTCAGAGCTGATGGGCTGGCATCACGCCGAGCTGCAGCCAGCTCTGCGCTCACATGCCTGCTTTTCCTCTCCTCCTATTTGCAGTTGGCTACATTCAGTTCCCTCTTCGGGGCCTGACCACTTCATTCTCATGCTCCTTTGATAGTCATGAAGCACTCGGTTGTCCTGAGTGTGGCTTTGATGCTGGTAGATACCATCTTTGCCTCCAAATATTTTCTCCCTCTGTGACTCAGAGCCTCCCATTCAAAACAGAGCTCCAGACTGGAGGATGCAGTAGAGTGGATTAGCCAGAACCTACAGGGGCCCTAAGTAACTGCACTCCACTTCAAAGACCATTTGCCCACTGAGTCTTCCTTTCACGCATGGCCTTGCATCTAAAGATTGTGCTCCCCTAGAATATTCTGAAGTGGCTACTGAAGAATCTTGTGAAGTCAAGACACAAAGGGCCATTCTGTTCTCAGAAATGCCTGCATTTATGCTACTGAGAGTCTCGCACTTATATATTGTATCTCCTGTTCTCTATCCTGCTGATTTCAATCTGGTGGGACTGCCACATGTCTTTGTACTCTGTCCCGCACATGTGCATATGGTGCATGCTAAATATAAATGCTGTTTGGCAGGGTCCTTTTTTCTCTTCCTTTGTTTCTGAAAATGTAATGAAGAAAATGTATAATGTGTGCCCTCTCCTAAGTGAGAGAGACTTTCAAGAAGTGGAATTTATCTTGACAATGAGCCACATATTTTGTGTATTATTTCTGTATGTGGCAGGATGGTGGTAGTGACTGTCCCCTGCTTTTGTCCGGCCTCTGTGTCCTCCCTTTAATGGAAGTCAGGTAAATACCTGCGTTGCTTTAGCTATTTGGCTGAGTTTCAGCCAAAATGGATTTTAGAAGCTGCTGGCCCGCCCCCCCCCCCATCCAGATATTAGGTTAGTTCAAGTGATAAGGCGGTTAACAAACAATTCACAGCTCCCAGTGGAGGTGTTGTGTATGTGTGTGTGGGGGGTGACCCCCAGCTGGGCTTATTCCAGGTTCTTAGCTCCAAGGGAGAAAAGAATGCAAGATGGAGACATGTTTAATGGGAGCAGGAAGTAAGATTCATTGAAAGGGATAGTACACACTCAGATGGAAGGGCAGGCAGCCCTCTTCACAAGGAAGGAAGGGCTGTTGACCCCACCAAAATTGGGGTTGTCCTCTGGTAGGGTAGCGGGTGGTGCCTGAGGCAGGGCCTAATTAAATATTCAAAGGAGGTGGAGTTTGGGTGGGGCTCAAATACCCCTTGCTTCCATTTCTGTTTTATGGGACTCTTGAAAGAGGTGTGGCGTCTCCACATAGGACTGGAAGCACATCCGTGGTCATCTCCAGCAAAGCATCACGGTGTCTTGTGCACGATGGGAATGAGGCCCAGGTGCAGGTCAGGGAATGGGTGTGCCAAGCCTGCAGCATGTTGGATATTTCTAGCCGGTGTGCACAGAAAGGAGTAGGGTTTGGGGTGCGTGCATGTGCAGGTGCTGCTGGCAGTCCTCTGCTTTTCATTCGGTAGCTATGCACCTGTCCACATCAGGGGGACACAGTCTAGGTTTGCTTCCTATTCGGGTTCTGTGTCCGTTGTCAGTCCATGGGGGCTCTGTTCCTTGTAGACAAAGGAGACTGTTTCTCAACACGTTGTGTCCACCATCATCACAGCCTTGGGTCAGTGGCTGACTATGTGAGGGACACACATCACTTCTGCTCTCTTTATTGGCCAGAGTAAGCCGTGTGCTTGGCCAGGTTTCAGAGATAGTAGTGAAGGAGAGCTCACCATGTACCTGGAAGGCAGAGGGTTTTGATCCTGGCACTACTAACTGCCGCATGTCCTACCAGAAACTCGATGTGTGGCAGTTGCACCTACTTTGTGGAGGAGCTCAAGTCCCTTCCAGGTGGGTCTTGCCTCTCGCCTGGAGAGCAAGACAACATGGTATGAAAGCAGTGCCCCAAAGGCATTTCAGACGGGGGCATTGCCTGAAAACAGTGCTTAGACTTTTAAAGAAACTCCAATGGAGGCCGGCGCCGCGGCTCACTAGGCTAATCCTCCGCCTTGTGGCGCCGGCACACCAGGTTCTAGTCCCGGTTGGGGCGCCGGATTCTGTCCCGGTTGCCCCTCTTCCAGGCCAGCTCTCTGCTGTGGCCAGGGAGTGCAGTGGAGGATGGCCCAGGTGCTTGGGCCCTGCACCCCATGGGAGACCAGGAAAAGCACCTGGCTCCTGGCTCCTGCCATCGGATCAGCGCGGTGTGCCGGCCGCAGCGCGCTGGCCAAGGCGGCCATTGGAGGGTGAACCAATGGCAAAGGAAGACCTTTCTCTCTGTCTCTCTCTCTCACTGTCCACTCTGCCTGTCAAAAAAAAAAAAAAAAAAAAAAAAAAAGAAAGAACTCCAATGGAGTATAGTAAGGTAAAGGACAGAGAGGGGCCTGGGTCTCCTCTCTCTCTCTCTCTCTCTCTCTCTCTCTCTCACACACACACACACACACGCAGACCTGTCTAGAATGGAACACATATGACAACCAGTGGAATTCTGCCTGAGCCTTTCAGCTCACCTGCTCCCTGCTCCCTCTGCCCGTCTTCCCAGCATCCCGTGGGCTCTGCCCCTGCCACTCGAGCCTGTTCTGCCTGCCTTGCTGGTGGCAGGGGCTTGAGCACAGCTGTGATTGCAGGGAGTGTGGTTTGTAAGAGCTGAAGGACTGGGGAAAGTCCCAGAGCCACTTAGCAGGGGAAGAATCATGACCGTGTCCGTACCTGCTTTGAGCGCCTAACATCTCTGGACTGATTGCACTGAGCGCAGGCAAAACCCAAAGCGGGATTTGGGATTCAGAGGGCAGTTGCAACGGCTTCGCCCAGTGACACTGATCATAGCTGGCAGGGGTCGCAGGAGGAGAGGCTGCAGCCCCAGACAGATGACCCCTGTGCGGACGGGGAGAGCTGCCCACAAGAGCAGCGGGCTCTCTGGGGAAGACGGGGAGAGGTAACACGCTGATTCCACTGTCCACCCTGCCTGGTGCCGTGTGGAGCTCAGCGATTTTTAGTGGGATTCTGCTAATGAACGTGGAACCCAGGGGCCGGCGGCTCCATTTCCTCGGCATTAACATTTTTTACTTTATTTTAATGAGGAAAATGAGATTCTTCTCAGTTTCCTATCAGTGCAGCCGGTTTGGGAGAATATGACATTTAACAACAGTGCTTTGAAAAATATTAAGCATTATACAAATATGAGGAATTGTTGCTGTTATTATTCTGATGAAGCACACACGCAGCTTCGCATCAGCCTTAATATTGAGGGGATATTTAAGGGATTAGGAAGGCCTCTGTAACTACTGGGTACTGACCCAGGGTGGCCTTCGGAGAAAGGGCCAACTAATCTGACCATATTAAATCCATTTTTAGAAGCTAAATATCCAAACTCTGAGTCAATAAACCACAAACGCAGACATAGATCATAAAACTTGATCATCTCACGTCAGCTGCAACGCTCTCATAAATTACAAAATAATGTCGGGCGATTAACTCTAATTTGAGGCCGTAACTTGATTATCTTCTGGTTAAAAGGAGGAAATGGCTTTGGGTAGGAACAGTGATTCCAAATTTCTTAATATGTGGATTAATTAATATGCAGCCAGAGAAAAGGGAGGAGGGCTGCAGTTAGATGGTGGATAATGTAGGAGAATGATGGGGGTGTCCTTGCAGCAGACCACAGAAGCTCTGAGAAACTGTGGTGCAGGCTTAGGGTCTGGTTGAAGCGGGGGTTAGCATCAGTGTGGACCAGTGAACATTTGAAGTACAGCCTGTTTGAAAAGCCCGTACTTGGGTGGCTTTTCAGGTACAGTACAGACAAGTGCAAAAGTAATGGGGAGGAGAAGCAGGGCCAAGCATGGCTTCAGCCAAGCCTGCTTAAGTCTCCTAATTGTTATTTGCATGCAAATGATTAGCATCATTTACAGTAGTCTCTAAAATGTTGATTCTTTGAAACAGGTTTGCGTTCCTTTTTTTTTTTTTTTTTAAATCAATTCCCTTACAAGTTCTTTTTTATTATTCAGAAGAAAATTTCAGGCAGATGGTGGAGGAGAGACTCCCAGTGTCTGATGTGCTGGTGCAGAGAGGAGGCATCAAGGAAGCCGGAACATCTGTCCTCGCAGGCCTACTTGGCTCATTGTCCCGTGTGCACAGAGAGAGCCTGCACAGCTTTTTGAGAAATTCGAAACCATCCTCTCTAGGTAAGAAAGCCAGATTGATTTGCTTATTAAAAAAACAACCTGAGAGTTTATCTAAACTTTGCAGTGCTCCCTCATCTAGGAAATCAGCAGCGGCAGGGAGGTGAGGCCCCACTGGCATCCCTCAGCGCTGTGGTGCCCAGCTGAGGCCTTGCTTCCCCCCCACATTCTTCCCACGTCCCCTCAAGCACGTGCAGAGAGAGACTGTCTCTGTGCTCCCTGCAGAGTGTCGGGGGCAGAGTCCCGCTTTGGCCCGTGAGGGCTGCAAGAGTGACTCAAGGCTTCTGTAAGCTATTAGGGCTGATAAAGAAATTCACATTAGGTGGCAAATACTGATAATAGATGAATATGTTTGGCCATTCTAATAGGGAATAATCCTTAAATGCATGACAGTGAGTTCTGTTTTGGATGTGAAGCCCTGAAGCAGGCAGGTGAATACCTTCAACCTAGGCAGGTGATATTGTCTCTGCTCACCTGGGTGAAAGCAGCCCATAAAAATAACAGCAGCCGCAACCAGCAGGATCAATTATTAAGCACCTGCTATGCATAATTTATGTGCTGCACCATCCTGTATCAAGTAATGGTTATAGTAATTTTATTTTATGTTAAATAGTTATTTATTTATTTATTTATTTGAAAGTCAGAGTTATACAGAGAGAAGAGAGGAAGAGAGAGAGAGAGAGAGAGGTCTTCCATCTGATGGTTCACTCCCCAATGGCTGCAATGGCCAGAGCTGCGCCGATCCAAAGCCAGGAGCCAGGAGCTTCCTCTGGGTCTCCCCCATGGGTGCAGGGGCCCAAGGACTTGGACCATCTTCTACTGCTTTCCCAGGCCATAGCAGAGAGTTGGATTGGAAGAGGGGCAGGCGGGACTAGAACCAGCGCCCAAATGGGATGCCAGCGCTTCAGGCCAGGGCGTTAACCCGCTTTGCCACAGCGCCTATATTTCTTTTAGAAACAGGGAAACTGATATTGGGAAAAGGGAAGTGTTTGTCCAAGGTCACAGAGTGAGTAAATGAGGATTTGAGAGATCTGCGTTCTGACTGATTCTGGATCAGCATTCCTTCCATGTCACCACTCTGCGTGCACTTTCTATAACTGGAGCTTACTAAATGCTGTTCTAAATGGCGCATTTTTAGCTTGTTCCATTTGAAATCCCAAATGGACTCCCAAATATTGCAATTCCACAATAATAATTATCATCAACAGCTGCCATTCGTGGAGCACTTATGACAAGCAAAGCACTAAATTCTTCTAAAACAAACAGGTGTTCATGTAAACTTCATAACCCACTGAGATTCTGGGAACCCAGATTCCGTGTAATTTCTTCTTTCTCTGTAAATGCTTTGCAGTATCTCTTACTTTTCATGTGAGAACCTTTGGAAATCAAAAATGCATTCCTTTTCCCAGCATGTTCAGATGTTGTTGTTAGTGTAGACACACGCGTGGCCCATGCTGTCCGTGTTCTCAGTTCATTTGGAGACACAGCATTCATGTCATAAATAAACAGCAAGGTAAAGGCACTTAGGACATGTCCAACTTAGGAGTGCAAATGCTGAACACCAGCTGAGTTCAGGGAAGGGAGAACTGAGTGGATCACAACAGCCGAAGAGTGTTTCATGGTGGAAAAGTGCCCCTGGTCTGGATCTGCGAGAGGGGATGACCTTGACTAGATGTGGGAGAGAGAGCGAGTGAGAAGAGTGTAGATATGACAGGACAACGGGGGTCCACTTTCGCTGGACAGTTTCTTACACTTTCTACTCAGATCTCACAATATATGATACAGATCTCACAATATATGATACAAATCTCACAATATATGATAATCCTTTGTGTTACAAATCGCCACTGGAGTTAAATATAGTCACAACTTTGTATTCTTGAGTTATAAAAATGAGATAGCATTTTCTCAGGCTCACAATTGCAGGAAACTGAGGTTTAATGCTACGGCTAGTTAGATCAGAGGACAAGATACAATTTCTCTAAAAGCAATAACACATTAATATAAGGAGAATCTGATCAATCTTTAAATTGAAGCTTATCAAAATGTAGTATTCTATGAGTTCTTTGTGATCAATTTTCTAGATATCGAGAATAGTTACCAAAACATTGGCACCTTCTCATTTTTAATTGCCTCTATTCTCTACTTTGCTATGCCTGTGGGGTGCTGGCCTGGAAGAAATGCATGACAGTGGATCTCCCAGATTTTTTTCTTTGAAGAAAATATTTTCTATGGAGTAGAATAATGCAAGGTATCTTATGTTTTACGACTGATAACAGAAGGTTTGAGGAGGCCCAGGCTCTATTAGATGAGAACTATCTTCATGTGGAAATCTGCAGTGTCCCAGGAGCAGGTGCAGAGGCCCTGGAGTCCTGTGAAGAACCCTTTATCAATGTTGCTTCACTCTGTGTTGCCTGAAGTTACTGGATCACGGGCAATCCCTATGCCCTCCCGCCACCAGTTTTTTCCCCCTTGAAGACAAAAAGACACTACTATTTTAATGGATAAAATGTTATATAAGAAATTCACTGGGGCTGGTGCTGTGGCGTAAGTAGGCTAAGCCTCTGCCTGCGGGTGCTTGGTTTGTGTCCTGGCTGCTCCTCTTCCAATCCAGCTCTCTGCTAATGGCCTAGGAAAGCACTGGAAGATGGCCCAAGTGCTTGGGCCCCTGCACCCCTATGGGAGACCTAGAAGAAGCTCCCGGCTCCTGGCTTCATATCTGCCCAGCTCCAGCTGTTGCTGCCATTTGGGGAGTGAACCAGCAGATGGAAGACCTTTCTCTCTCTCTGTCTCTCCCTCTCTTTGTAGCTTCACCTCTCAAATAAATAAAATCTTTTAAAAAAAATTAATTAACAGGTGTTAATAATACTGAAAAAAAAAAAGGTTTCAGAAGGAGCAATGCGGACAGGACCAGCCAGCAGCCCAATAGGAATGAGAACATTGATGTGTTCAGAGAGCAGAAGGGCAGGAAGGGCAACACTTGGGGTGTGCAGGACCTGGACGCTTCCAGCAGGGTCCCTGTTGCGTTGGGACTACACCTCTGCAGAGGGGGCACCACTCAACTGCTGCCTCAGCTCAGGACCTTGCAGGCGAAGATGCTTGGTTGCTGCCAGCACTGCGGGACCTTAGGGAAGGGGTGGCAGGGGCTGGGTTCAGCTGGTACCGCTGAGTGGGGCGTGATGAGGCTGGTCTGCATGGGTGGGCAGAGGCTGAGACGAGGAAACAGCTGCTGCCTGGGTGAGGGTTCCGGGAGGAGCGAGGCCGACAGGCCCGTCCCTGCTCCCTGCTCTTGCTCTCTCATTTCTTTCTCCCACCAGCTCTTGGCAGGGGCTCTGCCGAAGCAGGAAGTGGCTTGCAGGGTCTCCTGTTCCTAGGACGGAAACGTGGCTGCGGAAGTCAAATAGCAATGATAATAGCTGAAATAAATAAATAAAACCTGGTAGCTTTGTTATGCTCACAGCCATTCCTTCAGCCACCCTGGGTCCATATGTGCCTTTCTGTGAGGATTTGGGCAACACTAACAATTCTGTGCTTTTGCCTAACAAGGCGCAAACATCCTCCCAAGGAATGAAGATATTCCGACTCTCTCTCTCTACAGGTCCTGCAAATCCCCGATTGTCATTGTGTCCATATGTGGGGGATGTTCATTTTACCCCGAATCAGTCATGCACTCCTCTGACTATTTTGTAACCAGAGGCTAAGCTACAAAGATATTATCCACCACTGAACATATTTATAAAACATATTAAGGGGAAAATGCAGTTTTTAAAGAAACATTCAAAAATGTGTTAGGAAATGTTATATTCTTAGCTACAAGGGTTCAGCTTTCCTCAAGGTTGATGTAGACGTCAAGCTTCTAGATCTCGCCTGAGCCCTGAGCCCAGCGTTTCATAGCATGGAGTGGAAAGTGGCCGATTCACCACTGGGTTTTAGCTGTGTAGATAATCAGTAGGCAATGCTGACGCAGGTCACAAATTTTTACTCCAATATAATCACAGTTGTTTTAGATGGAAATTACCTATTATTGATTAAATGCACTTTAAGTCTGGTATCTGCCTGAGTACTTCCCAGTTGTAAGCTTTCTCATTAATGATTGGTTTTGAGTTCCAAGCTAGAGATTTCCACTGGGGGCATTGTTGGGATGGAAAATGCTAGCAATAGACTGCCAAACAGAGGCTGTTGCCCTTTTGCTAAAGGACTGTGGGGCTAGAAAACGATGCACCAGTATGGGTGTCATACTGCAAATTTCAAGCTCTGGTACCAGCAGCATTTAAAAAAAAAAAAAAGTGTGACCTTCCCAAGGTCACACTAGGCTCCCACGGCATTCCAGCTTTCTCTGGGGGAGTGGCAGATGCCTGGGCTTGTTTAGCTGGAGGGCCAGGAAGCAGGGGAGCAGGGAGAAAAGCAAAAGAAGATCACAGGACTTGGCTTCAGCTGTAGCTCCAGGCGCTCCATCCCCTGTGGGGAGTAATTTGCATCTGCATGCATCTCACCTGAGAGTGTGGCGCTGTCTTTTAGAATGGATTCCATGAATGTGCCATTATGATGCCTCCTTGCTCCAGACACACAGGATAAATTGCCCACTACTCTGCACTGTCAGTGTCAAGTGCCACGTAGACAGGCTTTGGGAGTAGCTTAGGGAGACAGACGTCAGACGTGAACTGAAGTCAGGTTATCTCATCAGTCATGAATTTTCCATCAGGGGCTCTGGATTCTAAATTTAAGCAACAACAGTTTTTAGGCTTTAGTAGAAGAATGTGAGTGTGGCCTATGAAACAAGCGACCAAAATTAGGGTAGTGGAGCCTCCAACACAAGCATGTCGTCTACAAGTGTGTCGTAGACCCACGTAACAAAGGCAATGGGGTTTTAGGAAGAGACACAGAAGACACAGGTCCTGGAGCATGGGCTCACATAGCTGTTGGATCTTGATGGAGCGCTTTGCCCTGAATCGGCTCACAGCTTTCGGAGCTGGAGTTTTAGTTCCCTTCCCTGAGTCTGAGTCTGGGGTCCTTATGTCCTGAAGCAGCTCCACTGTGATCCCAGGTCAGCTCCCTGTCATAGGACAACCCCCTCTGAGGACCCAGCTGGGGAAACCACTGCGTGGAATGGCCATTTCCTGCTGGGTAATTTGTCCACAGGCTGAAGTAATCCCGTGTATCCCTGCGTTTGCCTCACGGAGGTGAGCAGATGCTCCCTTGTGTTGGGGCCTGCGCTGTGGCACAGTCGGGCAGAGCCTCCACCCACAATGCTGGCATCCTGTATGGGTGCCAGTTTGTGTCCTGGCTGCTCCACTTCTGATCTAGCTCCCTGCTAATGGCTTGGGAAAAGCAAGAGAAGATGGCCCAAGTGTTTGGGTTCCTGCCACCAACGTAGGAGTTCGAACCAGTGGAAGCTTTTTGCTCCTGGCTTCAACCTGGCCCAGTGCTGGCCATTTTAGCTGTCTGGGGAGTGAACCAGCTGATGGATGATCCCTCTGTCCCTCTTTTTCTGTAACTCTGACTTTCAAAATAAATGCATAAACCTTAAACACAACAGCAAAAACCAGCTGTGTGTCCTGAAGTTTAGCCTCTGGTCTCCAGATTGCATTTCTGTTGTTCTGTATTCTACTCCTAGGATTGAACAGGTCACATCTGAGAATAGTCATGCAAGATTTAGACTGGAATTCAAATTGAGTTAGGGATGGGGGAATTTAGCTCTGTGTCTACCACATAGTAGGTGCTTTGTAAGTGTTGCTCCTATCAGGGACACAGACTAACCACGGTAAATGGGGCCAAGCTTCTCAACAGCTGAAGAATCTGTAATAGAACAAGTTCATGGCCCTCCTGGTCTGTCAGGCCTCAGATCCCCGCCCCTCTTTGGATCGCATTGAACAACTCTGGTCCAAATTCGTACAGGACTTCTCGGGAATGACCTAGGGTACACTGACTCATCACCTGCCACGGCACATCACTGGTGGCCAGGTCTGCTGGGTGTGATGCTTGGATATCTGGAGTTGGACAGACGTTCTGGGTCACAGATGCCTTGCAATGTGTCTACCACAGAGTGTCCAGCATGCGCCACTTTCTCAGGCACCATGGCAGAGTGTATTTTTATCCTGTCTCTGACTTCGTGTGTGTGTGTGTGTGTGTGTGTGTGTGTGTATGTGTTCTGCGAGATTTCAGACAAACTGAACAAACTGAAGAGAGAAGGAGTAAGACGCTTCTTTTGAAGGCGAGGGAAGGGAGATGAGTGCATGCACCAGGAGGGGGAGGTGGGAAGGGCGCTCCTCCCACCCAGCGTTCTCCGTGCTCCCATGAGGAGCTCTTCTGCACGCCCGTGTGAGAAGAATGGATGAGACAACACTGGGAAATATCCTTTGGTCACCTGCAAATGCCTGTGGATGTAATTGGCAGTTCTTCCTGATAGATGGGCTTTGAGTGCTCTGTATACAGGCTGGGGACTGGGTGGTTTTCTTGAAATTTCCCCCCATAGTCAAATTTTTCAAGAACAAAAAATAACAAATTGGCAATCTACCCACATGTGTTCTTTTGTAGCATCCAAGGACACTGTCCTGGCATGATGGATAATATTATGAGCTGTCTCATTCTGTGATGGGTTGGGTTATAAAAGTGAAGCAGATTTCATCTCGGTGAAATGCTTAGCGCAGGGAGCAGTATTTCCAGTCTAGGTAGTCACGGCTTCCCTTGCTTTTCCCTGCCCGCCCAGGTCAGTACACACACCGCGCCATCTGAGAAAGGGTGAGGGGCCGCGCTGGCTTTTCTTGCCCATGAGAAAGGGGGTTGGAGGGGAAGGGGTACAGGCAGATTTTCTCAGTCTTGGCACACAGGCCAGTGTGAGGAATGGCTATTAGGGGATGCTGTATGGCTGATGGAAAGAGACCCAGAGCTTGTCCTGTAAATGCCAACTTCCCTTTGGCCATCACCTCCACCATGGGAGGTCTGAGGCACAGATCCAAAGGCGAGGTCAATGTATGATCTTTATTACTGTCAATTATTCCGTCACACCTGACATGGTGTCCTGGAGAGCTAGACTGGAGCGCATGGCAGCCTCTGTCTTGCTTGTCATTACATTCTATTTCCATTCAGCCTGTGAGAGGGTTGTACTTTCCTAGTCTGTTTGTGAAGACTGGAGGCAGGTTTTTGTGGGTCAGAACACTAGAGTTAGATTGGGTAATCCTGGTGCCTTCGTCCCTAGATCTACACCCAAACCTTTATTCACTGTGTTGGTGAGATAGGTCCAACGACAGGGAAAGGGAAAGAGATCTGTGGACAGGACCAGGGCTGAGCCAAGCATGATCGTCTCAGCTCGTGCCCGCTACATGGGGACAGCTGCCTTGGCAGTGGACTTGTCCATCTCCCAGCTCCGGCAAATGCTGGCTAATGCAGCTTGGAACTCTTCTAAATATTCACTTTCCTACCTAATTTTGAATTTAAATTTTTATGGGCTTTTTCTTAAAAAGAACTCCCCAACATGTGTATGGTCTAGGTCTTACAAAGCTGAGGTCTGCTACATATCAGTGTGACTGCTACATGATGTCACTGAAGTCCAGTCCTTTGAAGACCTGAAGACTCTCAGGGGAAGAGTGAGCTGTGCCTATAACATTAACAAGTCAAATGCCAGGGCCAGGAGGCCAGGCAACTTTATTGTAAGATCTTTCAAAAAGTGTGCATGCAGAATGGGCAGATGCTCTCATTCCATATCAGAGTGCCTGGGTTTGCGTCCCAGTTCTTACCAGTGCAGACCCTGGGAGGCAGCAGGTGACGGCTCTTATAGTCGGCTCCTTGCCACCCACTTGGAAGATCTGGATTGGGTTCTTGCCTCCTGGCTTTGGCCTGGCCTATGCCAGGCTGTTGCTGGCATTTAGGGAGTGAACCAATGGGTGGGGAATCTCTGTCTGCTTCTCTCTATACCTTTCAAATAAATTAATATTTTTTTTTAAATGTAACATAGAGAAGGATGAAAAGTTGCAAAAACTAGTCCAGAGAACTTCTGTGTCTCTTTCATCCAGATTCCCCAGTTACTAAAATTCCGTACAGTTGCCTCAGCTATGTCATTTCTCTTTCTCTTTACATACACACACCTTTTGCTTCCTCAACCACTTGAGAGTGGGTACCAGACAAATTGTCTGTGACTCTTAAACACTTCAGTATGCATTTATTAAACAAAGGGCATCCTCTAATAAAGCCACGAGGCACCTATCAAAAATCAAGAAAGCAACATTGATTTTATACCAACCTATAATTAAAATTTCACCCATTTTCACAGTGAAGTCCTTTGCAGGTTGTGAATCTAAACCCAAATCTCGTGCTGTACTGAGTCATCATTTCTTCTGGTTTATTTCAACTTAAGACAGCTCCACAGTCTTTCCTTGCCCTTCAAGGCCTAGATGTTTTTGAAGTATCCAAGCCAGTTACTTTGTAGAATGTCCCTAAATTTGGTTTTGTCTGATGCTTCCTCGGGATTAGATTAACATAATAACATTTTCCAGGCGTATCACAGAAGTAACAGGATGCACATGATATTGATTTGTTCTATTGCTGATGATAACTTTTTTACTTGGTTAAGATGCTCTCTGTAGATCTTTGTGGGATGCTTTGAGACCATGTAAATATCCTGTTCCTTATCAAATTTCTGTTCACTGGTTTAAGCCTTCATTGATGATCCCTGCCTAAATCAATTACCACTATGCTGGTTACCAAGAAACAATTTTCTAATTCCATCAGTCCTTCTGTATTTATTAGTTGACGACTTTTTCTTACCTCATTTACTTATGTGTATACTTATATTTGTATGGATTCCTGTTTTATTCAATGTGTTATAATTCAATAAAATCTTTTTTTTTCAATGCTTAATTAGTCCCAGATTTGGCTAGCTGGAGCATCTTCCATTAGACTTGTGTATCTTTTTAACAACTCCCTATCATTCTTTGAAAACTTCCTTACATGTTGGTATAAGGTATTTGAAGCTTATCTTGTAACTTCCTTGTCCCAGACCTGGAATCAGCTATTTTCCCAAAGATTTCTGGTTCCTTTTAGTGGGAAATGCTATTTAAAAACCAACATCTGGGAACTAATTGTACTCTTTGCTGCTGGGATGTTGTTTCTAGGCCTCAATAGGCAGGGCTAGGAAGTACCTGTGTATTCACATATTTCTTTTTTTTTTTTTTATTTAATGAGCATAAATTTCCAGAGTACAGCTTATGGATTACAATAGCTTCCCCCCTCCCCCCGTAACTTCCCTCCCACCCACAACACTCCCCTCTCCCACTCCCTCTCCCCATCTCCTTCACATCAAGATTAATTTTCAATTATCTTTATATACAGAAGATCAATTTAACATATATTAAGTAAAGATTTCCACATTTTGCTTCCACACAGAAACTCAAAGTGTAAAGTACTATTTGAGTACTAGTTATAGCATTAATTAAACACCTAAGAGTAATTGTGTATTTTTTTTAAGTTTTTTTTTTTTTTTTTTTTGACAGGCAGAGTGGACAGTGAGAGAGAGAGACAGAGAGAAAGGTCTTCCTTTGCCATTGGTTCACCCTCCAATGGCCGCCGTGGCCAGCAAGCTGCGGCTGGCGCACCGCGCTGATCCGACGGCAGGAACCAGGCACTTATCCTGGTCTCCCATGGGGTGCAGGGCCCAAGCATTTGGGCCATCCTCCACTGCACTCCCTGGCCACAGCAGAGAGCTAGCCTGCAAGAGGGGCAACCGGGACAGAATCTGGCACCCCGACCAGGACTAGAACCCGGTGTGCCGGTGCCGCAAGGCGGAGGATTAGCCTAGTGAGCTGCTGCACTGGCAGTAATTGTGTATTAATTACAGAGTTCAACCAATAGTTTTAAGTAGAATATAAAATGCAACTTTTGTATTGTTGTGACTTCCCCCCCCAACCTCCCTCCCTTCCATGGTCCTCCCCTCACCTATTCCCTCTCCCATCCCCCCCTTCATCACGTTTCATTTTCAATTACCTTCATATACTGAAGATCAATTTAGTATATACTAAGCAGGGATTTCAACAGGCTGCACTCACACAACCGAACCAGGTATAGGGTATTGTTCGACTAGTAGTGTTGTTTTTGAGTTTCATATTTAAACACATTAAGGACAGAGATCCTGCGTGGGGAGCATGAACCCAGTGACTCCTGTTGTTGATTTAACAGTTGGCACTCTTATTTATGATGTCAGCAATCACCAGAGACTCTTGCTATGAGCTGTCTAGGCTATGGAAGCCCCTTGAGTTCACCGACTCTGAATTTGTTTAGTCAAGGCCATATCACAGTGGAGGTTCCTTCCTCCCTTCAGAGAAAGGCGCCTCTCTCCTTGATGGCCTGATCCTTCTGCTGGGGTCTTGTTCACCAGGATCTTTCCTTTAGATTGTTTTTTGCCACCGTGTCATGGGTATTCACATATTTCACACACATCTGAAGTTATTTCTGTTGCTTTCTATCTGTTTATATTAAAACCACTAATTTAAAGATACCTTCAATTATAGTCTGACAGCACATCCCATGGCAACCTGAGAGCCTCACTTTTCTGTTTGAAGGCAGTGAGACTCCTGCCTCTCTCTCTCTCTCTTTTAAAATATGTCTTCATTTATTTGAAAGACAGAGAGAGAGGGAGAGAGAGGGAGAGAGAGAGAGAGGTCTTCCATCTGCTGGTTCACTCCCCAAATGGGCTGATCCGAAGCCAGGAGCCAGGTGCTTCTTCCAGGTCTCCCTTGGTGCAGGGGCACAAGCACTCAGGCCATCTTCTACTGCTTTCCCAGGCCATAGCAGAGAGCTGGATCGGAAGTGGAGCAGCAGGGAATGGAACTAGTGCCCATATGGGAAGCTGGAACTGCAGGTGGCAGCTTTACCCACTACAACATAGCGCCATCCTCTCTTGTCTCTCTTTACCCTCAATATGCTTACTCAGTCCCTTGTAGGCCATTACTGTCCAGATAACATGAGCCGTCTCCTCACCTTCTCCTCATGCCTGTCTATACCCAAGGAATGAGAATCAGCAGCCTGACCCCATACCTATTAAGAATTCCCCTGCTCCAGCATTAGAACTGCTTAGACCTAGAGCTACCTCTGTCTTGACCCTGACTGTTCACTGATCCTGAATACCCCACCAGCCCAGCCTGCCACTGACCTGTAATTCAAAGTTCTGCCCCACGCATGCTTGCACGCAGTTCCCTTCAGCTCCAGGTCATCCACCAGGAGATGAGATTGCTCAGTTCCGGATCTATTACCTGCTGTATGTCGTAGGCAGCTACATACCCTCGGCTGCCTTGCCAGCTGGCTTCCAGCTAAGGTTGTCCAACGAGAGCCACTTACAAGAGATGGCAGAATATAAGGAAGAGGCCAGGATAACTTCTTTGCCTTCTGCCTTGGGAAACATCTCACTTGGTGGGTATTTCTCCTCCAAGACTAGCTTCTGTGTGACAGACATGCCACGGTTCTACATTCTGCTGCTGGCTTAGGCCCCTGGGTTCCCAGAGCAGCATCTTTTCCCTTTGTCTGGCCAGTCCCCGGAGTGGCAGAAGCTTCATACCACTATTTTCTAATTTCTCATTCCTTCCTTTTTGGTTCTCAGTTCTTCTACTACTCAGGTAGCCAATTCCCTGAATTAAATTCCTTCTGCTTTAAGCACCTAGAGTGTTGAATGTTTTCCTAACTTGACACTGAAAGTGATCCAAAAAGTTGACTCTCCTTAACAAATCTGTCACATGAGCCTGGAGTTGTTGTCGCCAACTTGCTCCCATTTGGAGAAAGTCTGTCTGAGAATGGAACCAAAAGATAAAGAATTAGATCCTGGCGACTTAGGAGTCCTGAAACTCACCTGAAGGCAGAACAAACCTGGACTTGTCAGGTACTTGAACCAATAGCAGCCCTTTTTTGTTCTAGTTCTGTTACACCTACGTTTAGGTCTCTTGCCTGTCCAATTAATTTGAAATTATAGGCCATTAACTCTTGGATCCATGAAGGTGTCTTGGGTTATATTTGAATGTCATATAGCCCCGCAGGGCATATGTCACGAATGTGATTTACTTATTTGTGTTCTTAAAAGAGGAGATTTTCTTACAGCCTCTCCCTACTATTGGTCTTTCTGTCTTTTAGTCTGTGAGTCCCCTTTTCTTTTCCAAGCTGCCACATTCTGACAGGGTCTCATATATCCACTACATCAGTGGAAGGGACAAAATAAAAAATTTATGTCATCCACATGACAGACCTGAAAAACTAGCCTCTCATTTAAATATTGCAAAAAATTGAGTTATGTGCTACATAAGTGACAGGAGAATGGGGCTCTTAATCTATGTGAAAGGAAATTGGATTCAAGTTGTTTTATCTCTTGCAGATGTTCAACATTATTTTTGTCAGCTAGTAGTTAAGTTGAAGAGAGACATCTTTCTCAGAATAGAAACATGAAATAATAATGTCCTCCAGCATCAGCTCATCATGTTAAGCCACGAGATGGATGATATCCTGACGTGAACGGATGCAAACGCCACCGAGTTTTGAATGTTTGTGGGGAGTCGGAGAGAGGCTGAAGTTTTGTTCAGCAATGTACTGCTCTGCACGAAACAGATAAAGAATCCCAGAGATCTTTGTTTAGAAAAAATTAGGATGCCAGGCCATGGTGTCCTAACAGGATCATTTTGGACAAGAATTCAGTAAATATTTGGGTTTAAAAGGTCCCTGAAGAAGGCTGGCACTAGCATGAGTTAGGAGCCGGTGTCCTTGGAGCTGCGGGTCAGCGCTGTGGTTGGACTTGATCTGATCTTACTTGTGGCGTGCTTCCTGGGTGCGGCGGTCGTGGGTGTGCTGAGGCCTCTGGCTCTCCCCACCCTGGCTCCTCTCGCCTGACAGGGGTCTATTTATTACCTCCTGTGGCTGTCATCTCTCCTGAACCAGGACCTCCTGTCTCCAGGGCTAGTACCACACCGAGTGAATGCAGGCAAGTTGGGAATGTATCTTAGTAGCCTCAGACCACACCCGGCTCCGTGATCAGGGTGCTGCTGGAGACGTGCTAGCTGGTGGGCGCCAGGGACCTTGCGGAGCAGCCCTACCCACCGAAAGAGCAGGCTGCTCTCTGTTTCCCTGACTGGCATTGCACGGCATCAACTGGGATTGGGGTCCCAGGAGTCCCGGTCAGTTTGGCTCGGGCCCTTACTGCCCCAGGAGAGAGTGGTGCATTCTACTTCCTCTACCAGGCTCCATCCATGTCTGCAGGGCATAGATCTGGGTTGATGGCTTCAGGGTGGCCTTTGCCCAGCCTCCCCTTGCTGGTGACACTTTTTTTTTTTGACAGGCAGAGTGGACAATGAGAGAGAGAGACAGAGAGAAAGGTCTTCCTTTTCTGTTGGTTCACCCCCTCAATGGCCACTGCAGCCGGCGCGCACCACGCTGATCCGAAGGCAGGAGTCAGGTGCTTCTCCTGGTCTCCCATGTGGGTGCAGGGCCCAAGGTCCTGGGCCATCCTTCACTGCCCTCCCGGGCCACAGCAGAGAGCTGGACTGGAAGAGGAGCGACCGGGACAGAATCCAGCGCCCTGACTGGGACTAGAACCCGGTGTGCCGGCACCGCAGGCAGAGGATTAGCCTAGTGAGCCACGGTGCTGGCCCTGGTGACACTTCTGACATCTGCCTCAGGACTTGAGACCTCTTCAGCTACACGCAAAGCGTTAAAACATAATTAACCCAAGAAAGAAAAAGCCCATTTTTGTCTTAACTTCATTAGCACATTTTTCAGTATTACTTTGGGCTTGATTTGGAATATATATTATAAATGGT